CCATTTTCTAAATATTTTAAATGCAAATAATGAGTAAAAAGTGTATATTTTGATTAGCGTGCACTAAGTAAGTAAATAATTAAATTTTTAAATGGATTTAAACATAATATTTTAAAAAATATATTTTAATCCATGTTAGAATAAAAATCTTTAAAAAAATATTTTGCGCACTTATATAGAAATAAAAATAGAAAAAAGTGAGACACATTTTATTTGTTTTTAAATAGCGCTATTATTAAAAAATTAAAAAAAAAAACCATATTTACAATAAAAGGTGTGTTTTTTTTATAATTATGTTAAATTAAAAAAAAAAGTTCAAACATTATTGTAATAAAGTCTAATTTTTGATGAATAGTGTATATATATATATATATATATATATATATATATATATATATATATATATATATATATATATATATATATATATATATATATATATCAGTGAAAAACCTAGAGTTAATTTGGGTATACTGATTTCCGGCAACATTAAAGGAAGGTGGGTGATGTTTTGACCACCCCCTCTTCCTCCTAGTTAAACAAATGTGCTGCAACAATAACTTTTAATAATCATTTTTTCAATAGTCATTTATGTTTATCTTGTTTAGTTTTATCCTATAATAAGGAGTTGATTTAAAGGTATTTTTTTTGAACGCATGAATTTACTGGTGGATGATGTTACTTTAGATTCATTAAGAAAGCTATTTTACTTAAGACTTTTATAGATGCTTTAGTTGCAAATACCACGCTATCAGTAAATAGTTATTGAAAATTGTTTAAAATATTTAAAACATTTATTAACTATATTTTTGTAAATTTAATTTTAGTAGTTATTAATGCTATAAATAATTAGTAATTAAATGTTCAAATATTTTAAACAATTTTTAATCAATATTTACATTACATAATATATCTACATATATTAAATCACGTAATATTTGTAAAATTAACAAAATAGTTTTACGTCTTGTATTTGAATTAAAAACATTAGCTTTTAATAAAAAAATTTGATAAGCATTTAATAAACGTATTTAATAAACTATTCAAATATATAAACATAAGCATTTAATAAATTTAATTAATAACTTATTAATTTTAAAATTTTGATTTAAATATTACCAAATCTGTTATTTTAACTTTTACTAAAGGTTAATAATTTTTTAAGGTTAATAATTTTAATAATTAAAGAAGGGATTACGGTAAACATAATTTTAATGTTATACTTTTTTGATTAAAAATTTATATTTTAAAAAAACATATATTTAAAAAAATATATATTTTTAATCATTAACTATAATTTAAAAAAACTTTATGTTCAATAAATAATTTTTTTTTTAAACAGATTTTAATAAAACTTTTATTAAGTTATTGAAATCTTTATTTTTATTATTTTAAAAATCAAAAAGAATATTGAATAGAAACAAAACATTCTGAAAAAGTTTACGCTTCGTTTTTTCATTTTCCTCATGTTAATTAAAATAGCAAGTTAAAGATCAAAAGTTCATTCATTCAAAAATTAAGCTTGCGCGATGGTTATCACAGTTAGTTACCAAAGGCCAATTACGACACGTAGTTATGTAAAAAAGTTTTTACATTTTCTTTTTAATTCATTTTATTGTCCTGAAGAAAAAATGAGGTAGCTAAAATAAAATGAAAATAATTTATATACTACTGTATTAAAAACTTAAATTTTATTTTCTATTTTTCATAAAAAAGCAAAAGAAAAATTAAAACATAGAATTAATTTTGGGCGCTTTTTTTTTGGGGCCTATACCGGTCTAATGGTACTAAAACACATCTTGGTTCTTTACTGTATATATTTATAATAAACTGAAAACTATATATATATATATATATATATATATATATATATATATATATATATATATATATATATATATATATATATATATATATATATGTATATATATATATATATATATATATATATATATATATATATATATATATATATATATATATATATATATATGTATATATATATACAGAGTGGAAAATAAGTAATTGAAGGTGAGTGGTCAATTCGACCAGCCAACTCAAGGAATTGATGGTCAATTTTTTTTTTTTGGATGATCAACATTTTTCTTTTTTCTTTGTTTAAATCTTAATAATAGTTCTTCTTGACAAAACTTTATAAATACAAAAATAAGTTAATGGAGGGTAAAGAAGGAAATTATTTTATTTATACAATTTTAACTAAAATCAATGCTTTTTTTTAAAAGCGCAAACAGGCAATTGATAATTTTTAATTTATTTAAAAATAATTAATTTCATTGCAATAACTTTGCAAATGGTGAGAAAAGCAGCGTAAAAAATAATAGAAAAGATTAAATGAAAAATAAAGTACAGTTGATATTATGGTCTTAATTACATATAAAAATCTTCGAATTATAATGAAATAAATTTTTGAAGTTTAAGTAGAAAAATTTCTTTGCACATTTTATATCTCTTGCTTATTAAAATCATTTCAAAAACCGCTAATGTTAATTAATTAATAATAACTCTTGTTTGCAGAAACTGAATATTTAATACTTTAAACATTCGTCTTCTTATTAAATAATTTGTTTAATAAAATAAATTTTAAAATTAAATTTATTTATTGTAACACTATAAAAATTATTAAATTTACATAAAACAGATTTTTTTTTGAAAATTTATATATATATATGTGTTCAGGGCCAGATTTATCTATAGGCCGACTAGGCCACAGCCTAGGGCCCCCAACATTTGGGGGCCCCAAAATTTAATAAACATAAAAATTTGAAAACTAAAAATAATGTGTAGAAAAATCAAAAATTTTGTAAAATTGATTTTTCATTAAATTCTCAATATTCACACTGTTTTGTTTAAATAATAAAATTTTGAATAAAAAAATGAAATTTTTTTTTTCCCAAAATTAAATTATTTTAGGGGCCTCAAAAATATTTTGGCCTAGGACCCCCAAAAGGCTAAGTCCAGCCCTGCATGTGTAATAATCCTTTATTTAATAAACCCCTGCATTTGTAATAATCCTTTGAAAAAAAAAAAAAAGAGCAAGCGCTCAATTAGTAATCTTTAGTTTAACTAAAAACCATTCATTCATTTATTTGCAATTTATTTGCAAAAATTATAAGAAAATAAATAAAACGATTTAGAGAAAAATAAAACAAATTGACTAAGTGCAGATGAAAGAAAAACTGTTCAAAGTTAAATACATAATTTATTATATATTATTATATTATTAATAAAAAAATATTAATAAAAAAAAAAATTTTTAAATATTAGTATATTATTAATAAAAAAATAAAATTTTTGTTTATGCGACACAATGATCGCAAAAAGTGACCAACGGAGCCGTCCAGTTACGTAGACCTGGGAGATGTGAAAATAAAAACAGATTGAAGATGATGTCATATAGGTAAAAAAAAAAAAAAAAAAAACATAAATTAATGCAAAGACTATTAAGTTGGAAAAGTAAAAGTAAGCAACTCAGGAAAAGGGGAATAAAAACTCACACTCTAGTCGTCTTTGAACAAATGATGAAATAATGATCTATGAGTAAACAAGTCAATAAAAATCCGCTGGTTTATAATGGTATTCATAACTAAAATAATCGCACCATACAAATGTCTAATAAATGTGGTACTATATATGTTCCAAACTCTAGATAAAAAATTGATAATTGATAATCACCTGTGTAACATAAAAAATATATAAATGTCGTAAATGTAACAAATTCATAATAAAAAGCTCATTAAGCGCAAAAATAGATGGGTTAAAGAGGTAAAAAAATGTTGGTGCCATAATAACCAATTAGAATTAAGTAGTGGATAAATGGTGATCCCCCTCCTCAGGAATGCACTGCGATCACCAATGACGTTTCGGAGAGCCCGAGGCCTGCACTAACGCCACTCGTCAGGGGCGTGTCCTTGCAACAGATCTCACCGCCTGCACTCAAAAAAAATATTAATAAAAAAATAAAATTTTTATATAAAAATAGTATTAAAATAATAACTTTAATAATTTAAGAGAAAAAAATTTTTACCGTCGGTAAAATAAATTTAATTTAAATAAGTGAAGCAAAAAACTTAAAGATTATAGTTTACATCGTTATGTATATATATATATATATATATATATATATATATATATATATATATGTATATATATATATAATATATATATATATATATATATATATATATATATATATATATATATATATATATATATATATATATATATATATATATAATGTGCAAGCATTTGTCAAAGCGAAGTAATGAGTTTGGGGTTGTTAAAACAGAAAAATTACTGATTTCTATTAATATGCTATAATTATTAGAAAAAAGTTTTTACAAAGATAAATATAATATAAATTCGAATTATTTGAGTCGAATATATTATAAGTAACAAAAATAATAATATAAAATTATTATTAAATTATTAATTTTTAATTATTGAATTATATTGATATAAGTTATTGATAAGTTTTTAATTTTTAATTATACAATTAAATCAATAAAAAATAAATTTATTGAAATGTTTTTAAAACAAAGATAAAAGCCAGGCAGTATTAAGAAATAAAAGGATTAAAGAAAAAATTCAATTTAACTTCTTTTTGCTTTCAAACTTTTTCCTTTAACGACCTGCTAGCAATCAAAGAAGCGTATCATAAAGAAGAAAACTGTTTTATATGTTTTTTCAAAATTGAAATAATATTATAAAGTTTTAGTATAAGCATTTTTTTTACCGGTATCAAAGTAGCATTTATAGTCATTTCAGGCAGTCATTGACCGTTAACCGTATATATATATATATATATATATATATATATATATATATATATATATATATATATATATATATATATATATATATATATATATATATATATATATATATATATATATATATATATATATATATATATATTAATTATGGGTATCAGTGATTTTAATATAAGTGAAATAATTACAATTTAATTCTTTTTTTTTAAGGCAGAGGAATCAATTCCAGGTATCAGTCAAGAAATCCTAGCTGGGATCCTTAGAGCTGGTAGAGTTTTTTTTTAACTTTTTTAATTCAATTTTTTAGTCATTTAGCTTGTTCTTGTTGAAGATGTTAAAGCTAGGCCTTAAACTTTAAAAATTTTCATTACGAGTTATAACAATAGAAGTAATGTTAATGGAAGTAATCATTAGTTAGTAATAATTTTTGTTATATGGAGTATATCATGATTAAGTATTGTGCAAGGGGTGAATCAAGTGGTTGGGAATTGTGATATCTAGAAATACTTATGGTCTTTAATTATAATATATATGCATATGGATGCTATCCATATGCATACAAATTTAATGAAAAACATTACTAATAGTCCGTAAAAATGTGTGTTAATTTTAAAATCAACCAATAAAATGTTTTTATTAGTTGATTTTAAAATTAACACGCATTTTTACAGACCATTAGTAACATTTTTCATAATGCATAATGCTAAATGTTATATGAATATCCTCTCTAGAATTATCTAGTTGCTTTTCTACTTTAATTAAAGTTTGGGGTTACTTATGTTGATTGAACAACATGCTGCGCTACTGACAGGTTGTTTTTTTTTTAATTTCAGTTTCCCTTTGGAGAAAACGTGTCATCCTGTGCCACCAGATGACCATGAGGGTAGAGGTCTACCCTAATGGAGTGACACCTAAAAAAAAAAAAATAGTAAATATGACATAAAAAGAATTTAAAATAAAAGAAGAAAACAATAAATGAAAAAAACTAATATAAAAACATAAAAATGATGAGGGAAAAAAAAGTAAAGGAAACAAAATAAAGCACTAATAAAAAATAATAGTATTAATAATAATAATAATATGAATAAAAAATAAGTATTACAAATAATAACTATAATATGATAACTTTAATAAAAATTACAACTAGTGATAAAAACTATGGTGAAAATAATTATAGTAAAAATTATAACTATGACAGAAATTATGAAAATAAACAAAAAATTTGCAAAAATTATGACAATAACCATAAAACTATTACTACAAATGAATTACTATCACTATTATTATAAATAATATTAATAAAGCTTCTAAAACAAAGATAAGTTAATGATAATAATAATAGTCATAAAAATAAAAATATATATAAAATAAAAGTATTAATAGTTTTATAAAATACATTAATATAAAAAATAATATAAATAATAAATGATAAAATTATTATTCATTAGATATATACTCAAAGAAAAATTACTTAATTCGGTTTCAATTGAGAAAAAGAATGTTGGTAATAAAAGAATATTTAGTTGAAATTTTTTTAAAAAAATGGTATTATTTAGTTCCAGTAAGAAATACATTGGTGTTTTATAAAGAGCTTTCTATATTTGAAATAGTTAAAAAAGGAAGTGTACAAATTAAAGTTTTCAGTATTTTAAGTGTAATGTTTGCGTGTGTCACTTGTTTTAATAAAAAAATTTTAAACGATTTTGGTAGTTTATTTTGAAGAAAAACACAGAGACAATGTAAAGCTTTACAAGATCTTAAAATTTTCGAATTTTTCATTCAGAAAAACTATTTTGATACTAAATCATAAAGGAGAAAATGTCACAATTGTATGGTAGTGCGTTGTAAGCTGCTTCAATGATTTAATAAAAATGTATCTTTTTGACCCAAGCAGTGCAATTATACCTTTGATGTGAGGAGAACATGGAATAATAAATTGATATTAGAATATATTGCGGAACATAGTGTTTCATTAGTTGAAACATACAATTGGCACGTAAGAGTTTTTTTTTTAATAAGATTAGTTGATTGTTGGTTTTTTTAAAGAAATTCACTGAGATATTTTACATATTTAGATAAGAAAATTCATTTATCATTAATCTTCTTTTTGTAGGGTGAAAAATAATAAATTACATATAATAAGTTTACATATTGAGAAATACAGTTACTATTTAACCAATGACACAAATGATAGAGATCTGAATTAACTTTTTTTTTTGGCAATTTGTAAATTTTTTATTTTTTTTTATTTTTTAACACTTCCTACAAGGCTGCAACCAACCACTATTAGAGTTAAAAGTTACTGGAAAAGTTTATAGAGAAATACAAGGTTTACCAGACAACCTGAAAGATTGCAAATTATGTGAATCAGGAAAACAAGATACAGGAAGTGAATTCCAAAGAAATTATGTTTGAGGAAAAAAACTAAACAAATAAGAATATTAGGAGCACTTAGAAACAGTCACAGTGAAAGGACAAGACTTACTTGAATGACGAGTAACACGAGAATGAATTTTAGTAGATAGCACAAAAGATGCAAGCTCTTTAGAGCAGTGCCCATTATAGTATTTATATAAAAGAGAAAGAGAAGCCCCATTACAATGGTATGATAATGGTTGGAGGTTGGCTGCAGGTCCAACTATGTTTAAAATGCATTTTTGCACCTTGTCTAAGAGAAAGCGCATCATTATCAGAAAATCAACCCTAGATATGGCAACTGTATTCCTTACAAGGAGCATTTAATATAAATAGAAATAAAGAATAGAATCCTGAGTAAGAAAGTGGCAAGCACAATAAAGAGATGCAACCTTAGTAGATGCTAATTTTGCAGTTGATTTGATATATGGTTTCCAAGAATAATTGAAAGTAAGAATTAATCCTAGAAGGTGAAGGGTAGATTACTCATCGAATACATTACCGTTCATAAATACAGGAAGGTCTAAATTATTGCGATAACGATTGGCTGAAAAAAATTTAGATTATTCAAGTTTTAAGGTTCAATATAGATTATTAAGGAAGGTTTAGATTATTGCCATAATGATTAGCTAAAAAACAAATGAATTTTATCTGAGTTCACCAACCACTGAGAGCCCCATGCTATAGCTTTTAAGACAAAAATAAATGGTAGTATTATCAGCGAACAATGCCATCTTAGATGTGAGAATTTCTGGGAGATTGTTAATGTAAATTAACAAGAGTATAGGGTCAAGGATTGAAGCTTGAGGAACCTCTGAAGTTACAGGATATGAAGAAGAGTTCTGTCCATCAAGAACAACTTACTATGATTGGTAAGGAAAGATAATCTTAAAGATGTAACCTGATCGTAACAAGTGAGCTTACGGAGAAGAGCAGCATCAAAAGCCAAGTAAAATGTCAAGAGCAATAGCCTTAGTCTCTCAACATTTCAGTAATTACTGTTAACAAATCAGAACGAGTAGAACGAGAAAATCCAAATCCAAATTGATAATCAGAAAGTAAGTTATTAGATTCAAGATAAGAGATTAAGTGTTTTGATATAAGACGCAAAATCCTTGCTCATGATAGTAAGAAGACTAATGGGACGGTAGTTAGACAGGTTAGTTTGCTCTCCGAATTTTCTAAATTAGGAATAACAGATGGCAACAGAGTCTTGTTTTCAACAGACTTGAAAACAAGACTCTGATAAGCACTTAAATAGTTTTGAAAGTATAGAAGACTGGAGAACACTTCTGCAATACTATAACAGATATTTTGTCTAAACCACAAGCTGTAGAAGAGTCTAAGAATCCAAGCAGGAAATCACTTTACAAATGATCATCATAGTAATCATTACCATCATCATCATCATCATCATCATCATCATCATCATCATCATCATCATCATCATCATCATCATCATCATCATTATTGGCATCGTTATCATCATTATCACCATTATTATCACTCATTCTACTCAATATTTGTTTTACTATCTTGAGCTGTTGCTTTATTAACCATTTATTTCTCTTTTTTACAAGAACATCTCTCTTAAGAACTAATGTCCTTTTATTATTCCAAGAAGCCAATGTAAAAACGTCCTGTCTGATGTTAAGCTCTGTTATTTTCAGTTTACTAAATCTTGTATCTTATAGCAGATAGTATTTTTGAGACTTTTGTTAAGTCTTTAACAATTTCATTAACTAAAGTCTAACATTTAATCTTATTATTATTTAATGTTTGATAATATTTATTTTAAAAAAATGCTAAATAAGTGGTTCTAATTTTTCAAAACTCTAAAAAACACTTTGACCTCTCCAACTATGCTACAATTAGTCTTCACTTTGTTATTGGATTCTTTATATAGAGGTTATATAATGATTAAATTATTTCTTACTAACTGCATTAAAAAATTTATTTTTGAAGGCCTGCACTCTTCTTTATCAAGTAACTTTAAGGGTACCACAAGGTATCTCGTGGTACCTTAAAATCTTTGCTGCTGTTTTGTTTCTTATCTACAATATCAATCTTCATAAAAACATCTAAAGTGGCTCTACTTGTTAACAACTCAACTTTATACAAATAAAAAGTGAATATTTTTGTCTTGAGAAAAATGTTCACTTTTTATTGCTTAGAACAAGCAGCTGATTTTTAATCTGATCTCTCTTCTGTAGCAGCCTAAGGCTTAGGCTTAGGCTCAGGCTTAGGCTGTAGCAGCCTAAGGCTTAGGCTGTAGCAGCCTAAGGCTTAGGCTGTAGCAGCCTAAGGCTTGCTGTGGCTATAAACTCTGAAATTTTCGTTTGACAACAAAACTCATTTATTTACTGCAAAAAAATATTGCAATAAAGTTGGTATTCCTATATTGATGAATAACAACCCTTGTTCTCCCAGACAAAGTCTTTAAGCACATTGTAAATGTAATGAGGTTGTGGTATAGTTGTAGAGCACTTGCGCCATAAGCGAGAGTTACCTAGTTTGATCCCCACTACGTCCCTGGTTGTACCAAGCTCAACTTGTTTCAACTTGCACAGCGGCCTTAGTTGTCAAGGTTCTTGTTTCGGAGTTTTAGAGTTGAGAGAGGGTTGTAACCACAATTAAGTATACTCCTTGTCTCTAGTGATGTTTTCAACTTTTGGGAAAGCGAGTTAACTTAAAAAACAAAATAATAATAAATTAGACCTGATTTATGTGCCAAGTCTGGGCTACTCTCCCATTGTTGTAAGGTTGCATTTCTTTTTCCTACAAAAAAAATCATGCTATTATCTCATCACTGTAAACCAAAACTCATTCTAGCTTGTTTCTTATTCAAAAAGT